GGAACCATGAGAGCAGACAAGACAATATAAACTTGACAACATAAGACACGCAGCAAGAAAACAGGGAGAGGAAAACTTAAATACAGGGGTAGAAAACACCAAGAGAAACTAATAAACAAACGAACTTAGCTACCCTAAAGGACTTAAACATAACATCCAAATAAACTAAAGCTCAAAAGGCAGGGTCAAAATATACGTTTTTAAGTTATAAAAAAAAATCATCTGAACAAATAATGAACCCCTCTCACAAAATAAGCTTAGCAACAGTAAAAACTAGGAAAACACATTACTGTAGCTTTGCAGAGGAAATGTGAATGAAAATTGTGTTTGAGTCAATGCAAATCACAGAACGAAAGCTACAGTTTACTATAAGTACTAACATTATTTTAAACCGACTAAAACACACCCGCATCTGGGCATACAGACCGTTATAACGGTCGTCTCACTGTGCTACCACTATTGTATTTGCACAGAAAAGATGTGCAATATAATGTATTGTAATACATTAAAACATAGGTTCCAAAGTTTGGACAAATATATTAACTGCTATGAGAATCTGAATGAGCTGATACTGGCTGACAGCATTAATGCTGAAGCACACTCACCTGAGGATCGCTTCTATTTTGAAATCAGGTCTCAGGATTTCTTTTCTTATAAACATAAAGTGATGATGTATATATAATCTACTGAGTCGGTGCAAACCTGGTCAGTCATAGAAACTGGTCACTGTGCAGACATCACCTTAGAAACCAGCCACAACTGTGGCTTACCTGAATTCATTAATTATTCAGGTAAGCCGGTTTTGGGAAATAAAGCCATGGAGACAAAGGACACGAGTCACTTCCTCTAATGACTACATGCAATCCAAACTGTAGCTGTTTTAAGGAAGCACGCTAAAAAGAGGGAAAACGCGCAAAATATTCTTCCTTTAATCAAATAACAGATATTTTAATCAAACCCAGCGGACATGGTCGCTGCCCACGTGATAAACGGATCTTACTTACTTTTGTTTGAAGGACAAAAAGCCTCGTCCCGGTCCCTCCTGCCTTCGTTGTTCTTGTTTAAATAATATATAAAGTCAGGTCTCTGTTTCGTTTGCTTGTGTCCACAGATGATGGACACAGCAAATCCACGTGCTGCAACAGACTTCGGACCTCACAGGTAGTGATGGGACGTTCTGTATCGAGGCTTCGGAGCGTGTGTCGAGTAATGGAGGGGGCGTTTCATTTATGGGAGGAGCTGAAAATGATGACGTCCGAAGCCTCGCTGCCCGGCTGTACCACGTGACTGGTTCATGAAGTGGTTCGAACTTTGCCGCGAG